GGAAAAGTTATTGACGTGATGGAAAATATTATTTTATTGAAAAATGTGTAGTTCAAAATGAGTTTTGAAAAAATGTATTTTGAAAGAATGTATGTCAAACATGGGTTTATAAATACTAGGGAAAATTGCAGCCACGGTACTAATCTTTCACATTTTTGCAGACTTTGTCCAAACCTTCATTTTGTGCCACCCACGATACCAAACATTTAAACAATTCGCACCCGAAGTCCAAATGGACGGTTTCCGTCCAGTCGACCGTTTGTTGACCAAAGAAGTCAAAATTGACCAAATTCATTAAGGACAAAATGATAATTTTGTATTTAAAAATCAAAATTGACCAAATTCATTAAGGACAAAATGTTAATTTTGTATTTTACATTTAAAATGATTATAAAGAAAAGAAAAGAAATAAAAAAAACCACTGTTCATCTTCTTCATCATCTCTTCCCCCCACCCCACCCCACCCCACCACACCACACCACAACCTCAGCTGCAACCCCACTGTTCATCTTCTTCATCATCTCTATTTGCCAGTTTTTTCTTCATCACGTTCCATATTAGTGCATTATTCGCCTTAACTAACCAGGACTCGGCCACAGTTCGAACCTAGATGGTTCTACAGGCCCCTTCACCATCGATCACCATCTCTGCCTTCCCAGAATCTTTCTAATCATTTTGTTCATAATCTTTCTAATCATTTTGTTTACTCTTATTATCTCTACAAGAATCGTAAGTTTTGCACTGTTTAAACCCCACACCGAGTCTCAATATCCATCAACAAAATCAGTCTGGGCAATTCGAGTCGTGTATTTCGTCACTAAGAACCCCCCACCATTGCACCACCTCCATCTCAGTCCTTTACAATTGGCGACGACAGTTCCCATTTTCTAGAACTGACCCTTCAATGATTTTCACTCTCACTCCATGTAGCCATCAACGAACTCAAACCCCTCATTTCACTACTCAAGAACACCGATTGTGGAAAACTCCTTAACTACTCACTAAGTCAACTCAACAGATCATTCATATCTAGTGATGACAAGAAATTCATGGATAACGAAACGATGATCAGGGATTTAACGACGTCGATTAAAGGTGGAATTAGCAATATAGACAAGTGCTTGAAAAGACTGGAATCCACGAGAAGGCTTTGAGAACTCATCCACTTCTTCGACAAATTGAAAATATAGAAAGTGCTTGAAAATTGAAGCTGAGGTTGGAGGAGGAGGCGATGGTGGTGGTGCCGACACCGTGCTGGTGGTTGTGCCGATAGTTTTGGTTTGGGTTTGGTGGGGGTGAGGTGAGGTGAGGTGGGGTAGGGTAGGGTGGTTGGAAAAGATAATAAGGTTTTTTTTTTTTTTTACTTATTTTATTTTAGTTCTTTTTTATATGGGAAAAGGGAAAATTTCCATTTTACCCATAATGAATTTGGTCAATTTTGACTTTTTTGGTCAATTGAACGGAAACCGTCCATTTGGACTTCAGGTGCAAATTGTTTAAAGGTTTGGTACCGTGGGTGGCACAAAACAAAGGTTTGGGCAAATTCTGCAAAAATGTGAAAGGTTTGGTACCATGGCTACAATTTTCCCTAAATACTATCTCACTTTGCATTCATGACAACACCTTTAAGAGTATTTAAATGAAATATTCTTGAGTAAAATTATATTGGTCTTACATTTTATTTATCTTTATCAAATCACTTACTTTAAAAAACTTTTGATTGAATCAATTTTAGAAATGCATCTTTCTCATCAAAGTTTTTCTCGTCTAACACTTGAACTTCATTCATTGCTATTCATTAAAGTATTAGCATATTTCTCTCTTCATACTTAATTTGTTTATATCATTTATTAAGATAGAAGTTTCAAATTGTAAAATCATACCCCATTAAATTTGTGGGTCATATTGAGATCCCATAAATTTTAATAGTGTATAAGGATCAGTGCTCCTTGTTTTTGAATCATCAAAAGCATTGTAAAGGATTTGATTGCACCACAAGTTAATCAATATAGTGAAAAGATCTTGCTCATACCGAAGAGATTGGTAACGAAGGACGTAGATCATTGCGTTGGATCGAACCTCCACAATTATATCGTTTGCATCATCTCTACCCTTTTACTTATCGTTATTTCATTTATATTTATTATTTGATTGATCTGCTTGCTTTTATTTGTTTACGATTATTAATTGAACAACGTGTTCTTAATTGCTTAAATTTGAATCAATTTTTTGAAAATCAATTCACTCCTCTTTTGATTAGTTACTCTTGGACTTTCACAAGTTAGAGAGTGTACGACCCTAATCCACGAGTCGCATTCTTATTAATTCGCCACACCCGCCTCAAAGATATGATATACTTCCTTTGAGTTCGTTTCCTTGTACAGATTGACCATAGAAGAATCTCTTTGATCTTGAAAGATCATGCGTATATTTCTAGGAACCTGATAAAGCAGTTTCCTCATTGAAAACTTTCACCCTTACAAATATGGGTGAAATTGAGAAGCCTACTTCGTCCAAGGCCATCAATCTTCCCTAAAAAAAGGTTGAACCCCAACCTTGAGGGCCCCCCACCGCCCCGCCCCTAGAGCATCGTGGAGGAGGTAAATGCGGGATGTGCCTTAGCAGGCCAGGGTACAAGAGCTACTATACTAATGTTCACAAAGAGTTAAATTTCATACCTTGTAAGAGGTAGGAATCGAACCCTCACACTGCAGCTGTCAGTTCAGCTGAGATTACCTCACTCATGTCATTTATACCACTTAGCTATGTCCCGGGGGCGGCCATCAGTCGTCCCTAGTTCGACTAAAGGGTGATGCTGCACAAAGACCAAAAGGATAATATCATAGGTAAGGACCATGCTAAACATGTCAAGGTCTCCACTTGTCATGTTGGCAAACACGTGAGGCATCGTGTACCTTACAACTAAGAAAAATGCTAGATGTACATCAAAAAGTGTACATCAAGGTCTACATCCCCTCACATTGAGGGGTCCACTCGAATAAAATATTCGTGCGGGCCCCTTACCCATGTGAGGGAAGTGTATACCGTGATGTACACCCCGATGTACCACTAACCGATGTACCACTAACATGGCTCTACAACTAAGGGCTCACGTGGCTTTTGCTGCCATGCTGGCTCTTGCATAGAGCCCTTGATGGTTCAAGGTTGTAACAATAGTCTTCAAGTACAAGTCTAATATTCATGTTGGGCGAAGGACTTTGCTGTGTGGATAAATTTTGATCTACGCGTTATGTGGCATTGACCTTGCACTTGATCTGGGATGAAGTCTATGGGGCTAGCTATCTTCGCACGTTAGGGTCTCATTTTCTTGCGGATGTGTCATATGAAGCTTTTTGTGCAAAGTATAACAATAATCGCCCAAGTTAAAGTCTAATTACAAATATTGGACAAAGATGAGATTGGACAAAGTACTATGAGATAAGGACTTATGTCAAGTAAAATGATCGATCATCCACGTGGCAGGTTCCCTGTGTGAAGGAGAAGCGTGCTGTAGGGGAGAAGGCGGAAATGTCCAAGATATGTATGGTCGCCTGCCTTGATTAGAACACAAATCATGATTTTCAACCGTTTCAAATTGTGAGACGCAATTATCATGACGTCGCCATCTGTGAGCAATCCATGGAGGGCCTTCGGCTGCTCTACCACTTCTTTTGCTCCATTCTGAGCTACTTCAATCTAACCAGGGGCGGCGACAAGAGACAAAAAAAAAAAAAATAGTTTTATACTGGGCTGATATATA